TTCTAAAAAAGTTTTTAAAAACAACATTGCATTTGACTAAATTTGTTAAACTCTACTTTAATAGTTTAAAAATTTATAAGAAAATACAAGATTTTTAATTGAAAAGTTTTTAAATTGAAACGACTTATTATTATAAATATTATTTTGTTTTTTTCTTATTTCCATATTTAAAAGTTCCTTCGTTACAGTTCTTTTTTGTGATACATTTTTTTCTAATTTGAAAAGTTTAAAAATTGTACTCCAAGTGAGAAAACCAGTAACTATTAGTGTTGTTATTGACTTCAAAAAAAAAATGAAACGAATGTCAAAATTAGTTGACTTTCTTTTAATTTGTCAAAAAATCGAATAGCCAATTTAATTGAGTATGGCTTTCCTTCTAATTGATTAAAAAGTAATTTAGTTGGATCTTTTTACTTGATTTAACTTTATCAATATTTAATTTTGTTATGACTAAATAGTAAAGATATATAAGAAAGATAAATAGTACAGATAAATAGTAGATTATCTCAAAATAATAAAATATTTATAAAGGTTGAACTATGCATAAGAATATTATTCATAGCAGGTTTTTTAATTTATCCAAAATATCACATCAATTTAACTCTTAGTTTACTGTATGTAACATCACTTCATGTTTACTATATGTAGCACCACTTCATGTTTACTGTATGTAACACCGCTTCATGTTTACTGTATGTAACATCACTTCATATTTACTGTATGTAACATCACTTCATGTTTTCTTTTCCTCGTTAAAGTAAACTATTGATTCTTTTTAAAACAAAATGATAGGTAATCAATAAAAGATGCAAAAAAATGATAAATAATTAAAGATGCAAAATAATAAGAACTTTGATAAATCTGCTACCCCAAAAATAGTTTGGTCAGATTTGCGCTTTGCTAACTTGCACCATGGCACAACAAAATTATGCTTTTATTTGTTGTGAAAAATGATATAAATATTAAAAATTTTATCTTTAAATTTAATTAAAATTCTACCAGTATTCCAATATTCAATAAAATTCAATATTATGTAATCATTGATAAACAATAATTTCTTATGAAGATGTATTTTCAGTGGACATTTTTAACGATTGGTTTAATTCTATTCATACATTAATAATGATTGAAATAACTTCCCCTGGACTATTTATAATGATGATTGGGACACATAAATCCCTTCAGACATTTCTGCATGAAAGAATTCTTGTTGTTAAAACACTTAAAAGCTGTGCAGCTAAATATAAGAGAAAACAAAGAACAATGACAAACAGGTTATTTTATACTACTCCTTTGACTTAATTTTAATATAAATTTAATTTTTGTTCTTTTTTTATGGTAGCAACAAAATATTGAACAAAATCTTTCATAAAAATAAAGTTTGGAACTATTTTGTAAAAAACGATTACTCTATAATAACAACATGTAAATATAAAGATAATTAAATATAAAGATACTTTAACTACAAACTTTAACAATAAATATAAAGATACTTTAACAAACAAAAATTGCAACAAAAAGTTAAAGTACAATAAAAATACCAGCTCAATGGCAATCTATTTGTATAGTGACCATTGTAATAATATAAATGAGTCTAAACTTCTGTGTACAACTGTGTACAACTGGTCTTGCATTTATCATATCTGCATTTACAAACTCTCACTTATATTGTTCAAGCTCGCAGAAATATAGAGATTTAGAGGAATCTAGGCGTAATTTTGTTCTTTAAACAGGTCAACCGCTGTCGATTGTTGATAATAAGTGTCTAGAAGATCTAATTTATAAATTGTACATACCTTGTTTTTGTCATATATAAGAGAATTAGCCATCAATTGAAGAAGAAAACCATTGCATCTTCATAATTTTAAAGAAATGTAGGAAACTGGTTAACTTATTTAAAAATAGTAATAAGCTTTCTGCTCAGCTAGTTAGTGTTGAGTTAAATAATATGAAAACTGATAATCAATTTTAATAAAAAATGTGAGGATTTTTTCAAAATTTAAAAGTTGCACGCAGCTACATTATTTGATCCTCAATTTTGTACTTTCGAACAAAACAGAGAAAATTGGTCATTATTAATTAAAAAAGCTCATTATTTAGTTGATCAATTGAGCTAGGAATAGCAGCCCACACTAACAAGACTTCAGTTGTCTAGCCAAGAGTGGTCATCTAGCCAAAGAACTTCATCAAAAAAAAAATAATATTGTTATTGGATGAAACATCAGATTAGTTGTCTACAAACAACAAAATCATAAACTATTTAAATATGAATATAAAAAGTCAGAAAACTCATTTCCTTAAATGATATATGAAAGTAATTTATAATAATTTTCCGTTTTGTCAAAGATAGCAAAGATGCTCTTTTGTATAATTGCTTCATCACTGCCTTTGGAAGAGTTATTTTCAAGTGCTGAAGAAATCATTACAAAATGGCGAAATAGACTTAAACAAGATTTTGTTAAAAAATGTGTTTAGTTAAACCAAGACATACAACAATGCCATCTTGTTTTTTTCTTCTTTTCTTTACTATTGTAATTTCTTATTTATTTTGTTTTATTTTTGTTTATTCGATTTAAATTAACGTTATAGATTAATTAAAATCGAACAAAAAAAAGCTCTTGTTATAACAACATTATTATAAAAGTATTACATACCATATAGTTTTTTGTTTCTTTTAAAGTTCTTTTTATTTCATAGCATCTAAAAAATAAATTATCAAGTAACATTAAATAATTATAATTCAAATATCAAGAAATCAAATATTTCAATTAAATCAACTTTTAGTTGATTTAGTTGATTTCAAATAATTTTGTTTGACTTTAATTTCGGTTGACTTTGAAAAATTGATTTAGTTGACAGCCGAATTGATTTAAAGTTGTAACAACACTAGTAATTTTAAGAAAAAACTTTCGTAGTTAAAACTTGAATGAATGAGTTTGATACTTTTAAAATTGTATTTGTGTTTTTTATTATGTTTATTAAAAAAGATTTAATTTAAGTTTTAAAAAGCGTGTTTCTATTTATTTCACTTTGACTAAGTCGTATTCTAGATTCTAATTTAAAAATGCAGCCATAAAAATATTGTGCATTAAAAAGTATATTTTATTTTTAAAACATTTTTATATAAAAATATGTAATTTAAATAGCTTTTTAAAAACTACTAAAGCTCTTTACTTCTTTATTGTTGTTGCTTTTTTTATAGTTTTTTTAAGATATTTTTTAATAAAATTCTTACACTGGTCATTTGAACTTATCAAGTTTATTTAAAAATAATTATGTCAAAACATTTTTAAAAAACTTTCAATTATGAACTTTTTTTACATTACGGACACTCACAAAAAAATAACATTATAAACATATTTTGCTTTTTTTATCATTACATAACTACATAATACATATTAAAGCGATATTTTATTTAAAATGCCCTAGATATTTTTTTACTATTTTTGCTTATGTAAATAAAATACAAATCAACCTAAAAAACATTAAATTTTGTTGTTCAAAAAAAAAAAAATTGTATTGAAAAATTGTAAACCAAAAGCTATATTTCGCCTAAAAGCTATATTATCACCGCGTATTTTGGGTGATCGCCTGCCATTCCTGCCGAGGCCTATATATATGTTCTGAATAAAGTTCTTACATCAAGGATATTTACAAACAGTAATAAGTACTAATATGAAATAAACACCTGCCAATTTCAATAATAAAAATAGTGATAATAATAAAAATAATTATAATACAAATAGAAATAATAGTATTAATCATAAAAAGTATATACTGTACTACAACAATATTTAAAACACAATATATATGCTTAAATTAGGCCTATAAAAAGATTGGTCAATCAATATTAACAAATGTCAGACTTTATGGAGCAAACTTTTCTGAATATCACAAAGTAATACATCTACAGAAATTATTAATAAATTATTAGGCCTGCAGCTTGTTTTTAATTAGACAAGGTCGAAATGAATGTACATGCCTATAAATGCATGAACAGACTGATTACTGATAAAGGAATTGATGTGATGAATGTTTAGATAATTTTAATTTGCCACAGTTTTGACGAACAGAAGTAGCATTTATTACAGACGTTGCATGTCTAAGTTATGAAGCTTTTAATTAAAAAATTGAAATAAATTCTTTTAATTTAGATTTTCACATGACATTTTTACTGCTACTGATAACATTGTTTTAACATATATTAATAACACCAATTTATTACTTGATTACCTTTATGGTTCTCTACACTTTAAAATGCCTTTTTTGAACTGAACACTGCTTTGTCAGCAAAATCTGGTCAACTGACTCAAGAACATAAATCAAAAAATTCCTTTTTTTTTTTTATAACTTCAACATGACTGTTTTTAATCAATACATAACTGTACAAAAGTACATAAATCAAAAGTATATGTATTACAATGCAATGCAGCAATATACTTTTTTGACATAAATCATTGATACTATAAGAAGATGCACAAAAAAATTTTAAAAAAATAACGTCATTGAAGAAAGCAATCATGTTTAATCATGGTTTCTTTTAAAGTAAGTGTAAACGCATTTATTTTAAGTAAAATTTTCATGCTTTTGTAAATGTATGCAAAAACCATGCTGAAACATAATTACTTTTTTCAATAGTGTACTTAGTTGTTATACTTAAATGTTATGCTATTAAAAAAAGTAATCATGTTTTAGCATGGCATATATATATATATATATATATATATATATATATTTATATATATATATATATATATATATATATATATATATATATATATATATATATATATATATATATATATACATGAGTATGAGCCTATGGGTAAAAAAAAAAATAAAAGAAATAAGTATTGCACTTCATATGTCTAGTCTATAAACTTCATGTTTTTCTATGCACCAACCAAGCATGGATATATAAAGATTTATTTGGGTTTGTGTTAGTTAAAATTTTTAGAGCAAAATATTTAAAAGAAAATATGATTGGCTGTAAAGCTTACCACATTCTAAAGTCATAATGGTAGCTAATTCATCCTCATTCTTTAACATTTGGGAACTTAACTTCTTTAAAATATCACTTCTATATCTGCAAGAAGTATGCTGCCATGAATGAAATGCCTCATTTGCACAACTTATTGATGCTTTGATGTCTACTTCTGATAAATCTGGGACATTAGCCACTACCTAAACAAGAAATGACTTAAACCAAATATATATATATATATATATATATATATATATATATATATATATATATATATATATATATATATATATATATATATATATATATATATATATATATATATATATATATATATATATATATATATATATATATATATATATATATATATATATATATATATATATATAAATATATATACATATATATATATATATATATATATATATACATATATATATATATATATATATATATATATATATATATATATATATATATATATATATATACATATATATGTGTGTGTGTAAACGCTATCATGCATCATGCTAACATTTCCTCTCTTTAATAACTTCTGTTCTCCTATAAATTGTATATTTAGTTTATTTATCAAATCCATCCAATCAAACCTGAGTTTAAAACAGTGTAAATAGTAAATATTGTATATTTACTCACTTTCAAGTAATATACTATCATGTTCATTTAATTTTATAATTGTTGCTCAAAAAACCTTATAAGTACAGTTCCATTAAATCAAATCCATTAAATCTATAAGGATTGTATGAAAAAATATTTTTTTATATTTTAAATATTTCAATATTTCAAGAAAAACCTAAAAATCTGAAATTTAAAAATTAATGTAGATGTACTCAAGGAGCCTTAATAATATAGAAATAAAAAATAAAACACATACATACATGCAATGTTTGTGTGAGAGAGAGAAAGACACACATGTTTTGAACAAAAACATAGATGCTTTAGACAAATATCAAAACAAAAACTAAAATTTTTTTGTTACATTTACAAGACATAAACAACTATATTAGAAAAAAACTATTTGGACACTTTTATTACCTGTCTAGTTGTAGGAGACAATACTGGAAATGTTGCTTTATTAATACCTGATGTCCACTTTCCATTTATAAAAGCTAAATCTTTTAAATAATTGAACTTTTTCAGAAGAATTGTGTTTGTAGACATTTTTTAACTAAAAAATAACTATTAATTTTAATAGTTTAATAGCTAAATAACTACTTAACTATTGATGTTTTACTGTTAATTTTATTTATTTATTATATATAAATTAATTTTATTTTAAATTTTCATTTTAATATATATACATATATATACATACATACATATATATATATATATATATATATATATATATATATATATATATATATATATATATATATATATATATATATATATATATATATATATATACATACATATATATATATATATATATATGTATATATATATATATATATATATATATATAATATATATAATATACATATATATATATTGAAAAAAAATATATATATATATTGAAAAAAAAAAAAATATATATATATATATATATATATATATATATATATATACATACATATATATATATATATATATATATATAAATATATATATATATATATATATATATATATAAATATATATGTATATATGTATATATATATATATATATATATATATATATATATATATATATATATATATATATATATATATATATATATATATATATATATATATATATATATATATTAAAAAAAATATATATATATATATATAGGTACGTGGAAATATCCGTTTTACGGAACCGAATTATGTGCTAAAAAACTGTGCCACGCTTTTTAGATTTCTTTTTAACTAGCGTTGGGAAGACGTGTTTAGTTAAAAAACTTTTTAGAATTTGATATCAATATAGATTATTTTTAGAAACTAGAATAGTTAATCTTTATTACTGTGAGCTTCATTATTTTACTGGATGGCTTTTTTATTGAGTTTTTTGATGTCTAAAACTTTGTTGTACTTTGGGCATGAAATTAATGTCGAAGGTATGCTCTTTTTTTTTTCTATACTATTCTTTTTTTTAAGTTTTTCATTTATATATACATATACATACATATATATATATATATATAGCACCTGGAAAATTTCATTGAAAAAAAAGTTGTAGCAGGGTGTCTATTTTTTGTCGCACTTTTCCTACCTAATTTTCAATTTTGCTGAAGTGGTCGCGGGAGACAGAGGGGTTAAATAAACATTGTTTACATTTGATTCTGATTAAATAAAATTTCAGTTTTTTTTTAGATTAAATAAAATGGAAAATAAAGATGTTGATAAAGGTTTACAATATTGTTTCCTATTTATTAAAATTTTAAAAAAGTTATTTGCCTTCAATGTAAAGTTATTGAAACTTATTAACTTTACATTGAAGGCAAATAATTTAATTTAACTGAATTTTAATGTTTCCTTACTTGAAAGTTGAATTTTTTAAAAATGTAACTGACATATTAGTAACATTATAACATATTTTATCTTACATTGTAATCATTAAAAAAATTGTTGTATCATGATGATCATGATACAACAATTAGTCTCTCCAATAACAATTGTAATAAACTACTACTAGTAGTAGTATATTACAATTGTTATTGGAGAGTCTTGTTGTATCATCATGATACAACAGTAAGTAGTATATTGTAATTGTTATTGGAGAAAAAAGTCTAGTTTTTACCTAGACTTTTTTATAAAAAGATGCACGATAATCATCTTTTTTTTTTAATGATTAACTGTTAATCTTTCAACTGTAACAAATAATATAAATTAAATATGGTCATATTTAACTAATATATGTTAGCAACCTTATTCAACTTTTATGTATAATAAATGTAACGTAAATAATCAAGAACATTTGTTATATTGTTTAGCTGCCCAAAGCAGTCCTACGGCAGCAGCCAACAATATCAGTTAGTTATTTTAAACATTAAATATTCATTAGTTTCTTTTAACTTAAGATCAGTATTTATTCAAATGTTTGTATTATTTTGCTAAAAAAAGTTTTTCATTTTTTGTTTAGATGATGCTTTTGAGAGGATAAGTCAGTTTTTTTTGGCGATTTATTATTTTAGTATTTAGTCTTTTGCTCTCAATATTAAATTATATATCTTTATTATGCTATGTGTTTTGTACCGATTTTTGTGCATCCACAAAGTTTTTTCACAGTTGTTTATTTTGTATATTCCTGATTATTTCTTGCTTTTTATTGAGTCATTGTTATTTTTTTTCTATAGACAATTTAGAACAAACTATTAGTAAGTAAAGTTTGAACTATTTTAGTTATTTAGTCATTTGAACTTTTTTTTTTTGTAATGTTAGTCTGATAATTTAATTTTATAATAAAGTTAGTATATTTAAATTGGCTTTTAGGCGAATTCAGACAGCAGTTTTGTAAGTTTAATAAATTTAAACAATTTCAATAGTATAGTTTAATGATTCATGCTAAGATTATTATTTAATTGATACACGTTAAAGCTGTTTACTCTATTGACACACGCTAACTAAAGATGTAACGAAAAGTGTAACTTGAAATTAAGTTTATTTTAGTAAACTATTGTTATTACTATTGTTACTATTTTTTCCTTTTAATTCTTTAGCAACACTTACTTCATTAATTGGTAAGAGATTAAGGTGTATTTTTATGTTTAAGTATTGAGAAATATAGTTTGATTTTGTGTATTATGCAGTATTGTACTATTTAATATGTACTATGTTATTGTATATTTAATATGTACTATGTATTTATATTTAACATGTAATATTTACATGTACCATTTAATTTTTTGTGTCATTGTATTATTTAATCTTTCATATCCTTGTCATCTGTTGCAGCTGGTAAGGTTTCTATATTATGATATTTCAAAATTATTTATATGGCAAAGTAATTGCAAGAGTAAGTTTTTTGTTCATTACATTTTTTTTTTTTTTTTTGAAGTATCATCTATAGCTGCTCTATCTGGTAAGGTTTTTTTATTTTAACTTTTTAATATATTTTTAATATTCAAATTTTAATAATAACTTCAAGATTGGTATGTGTATTATATGCTTCCATATTTTAAAGTTATTTAAAAATTGTATTTTTTTACTTTGTAACATGATTTAATAAAAAAAATCATGCAATATATTTTATACTAATCCAACTGGTAAGTTTATTTATTTTAACTTTGTAATAAGACTTTCATAGCAAGGTAATTATGAAAATAATAAATTATTATGATTTTTTTTTTTTAGTACCACCATTATCTGTTTCAGCTGGTAAGAATAAATATATTATAATTTTGCAGCATTTTTTAAACGCAAAATAATTTAAGGATTTTTGTTTGTATTATGTTTTCAATTTTTTAGTTCCACCTTCCACTGATCTAACTGGTAAGGTTGTATATTTTTGCTTTGCAATATGATTTGCAATAAGATTGTGTAAAATGCTTTTTCATTTCTTTTTTAGTGCCATCATCATCTACTCCAACTGGTTAGTATATATGTTTTAACTCTGCAATATGATTTTAAATAGAATTTGTTATTAAGATTGTGTAAAATACTTTTTTATTTCTTTTTTAGTGGCATCTTCATCTGCTCCAATTGGTTAGTATATATGTTTTAACTCTGCAATATGATTATAAATAAAATTTATTTTTAAGATTGTGTAAAATGCTTTTTTATTTCTTTTTTAGTGCCATCATCATCTACTCCAACTGGTTAGTATATATGTTTTAACTCTGCAATATGATTTTAAATAAAATTTATTTTTAAGATTGTGTAAAATGCTTTTTTATTTCTTTTTTAGTGCCATCATCATCTACTCCAACTGGTTAGTATATATGTTTTAACTCTGCAATATGATTTTAAATAAAATTTATTTTTAAGATTGTGTATAATGCTTTTTTATTTCTTTTATAGTGCCATCATCTGCTCTAACTGGTTAGTATATATGTTTCAACTCTGCAATATGATTTTAAATAAAATTTATTTTTAAGATTGTGTTAAATGTTTCTTGATTTTGATTGATGTATAATGCTTTGTTATTTTTATTTTTTATTTTTTAGGTTGGGGGAGGGGGTTACACGCCCCTTCCGTACATCAATGCAAGTTGTGTATTTGAATTCCTGTAAAATATAGTTTTATTATGTATACTATTGATTTCAATGTAGTAAAGATAAAAATTTTAATGAAAACAAGTTATTTTTGATGCTAGGGTGTATCAAACCATCACCACCGCACCCACCTCCATCGTTAACATACGCCTCTCATATAATCGGTGGTTTAATATAATTTTATAACAACTTTTTTTGTATATTTAAATTACTTATGTCTTGAAAAAAAACTTTTTTTCTGAAAAAAATGTTCAGTTTCATTAGGGTAAGGTAGTGGTTTGGTGCCCCCTCTGTCCATCCGATACGCCCGGTGGTTAGAGTTTAACAAAAATTTGTAGCCCACTCTCACACCTATCTTTTGACACCAAGATATTTGTATTTTGATAAGAATTAAGAAAGTTATGACAATTTAAGTGAGGAAAAACATAATTTTGACCACAGTTTCTTCAACAATTCCATATATCAAAAAATCGGTACTTAAACCGTCATAACTTTTGAACCAATTGTTCGATTTTTAAAATTTTTTCACCTTTAAAATACTGTATTGATTCTCTTTCCAATGATATATAACAGTAGAATATTTAAACAATTTGAAATTTTTACTCACGTACCTAATATATATTAAAAAAATATATATATATATATATATACATATATATATATATATATACATATATATATATATATATATATATATATATATATATATATATACATATATTATAATGTATATATAAAGAGATGTAACGAAGGTGTTTCGAAGGAGTAACGGAGGTTTATCATACCGGAGGTTTAAAATTTACTAATTCGGAATGTAATCATAATTAGGGGGAGGGGGGGTCCACAATCATCTTTTTTCAGATTTTTCATAGTTTAACCAATTTTTCTTAATTAATTTTTCATGCTGATTCTGAAAATCATAATCATTTTTTTTTTCATTTTAATTATTTAGCCTTCTACTTCGATTTTAATAAAAGTTCATATATTGACAAAAAAAGGCATTTTTAAAAATAGATGAAATTATTATTATCATTAAATATAAGAAAAGTAAAAATCTTTTTCTGTTTGATTTATCAATAATATACCTTACGATTTATAAGTAACAAAAAAAATTAGGCATTATATATGAAAATAACTCATACAGTTTGTTATATACTATGGATGATAAATAACTATAAAAGTCATCATATGTGATAGAGATTGCTGCGGGAACTTTCCATGTAGAACATCTAGGTTATGAGCGTGTTCTTTGGTAGACATAAGATGGAGGTTTGTATTTTTATATCAACAATCATGTATTTAAACAGAATAGATCTCCGCGACAATGACCTACATTGTATCCCTAAAATAAAGAACCTCATTTTTCGAACTTTTTTTTCATTTTAACATATCTTTATCTACTTCAATAATGTCTAGTTTACAGCTAAATGGGCTGCCTTGTAACTTTAATCAAACTAAAATAGAACTCATCTTGCACACCTGATGTAAAGTTTGCTGCTCTTCCATTGTTATCCATTTGTTTTTGTAGCTGGTTTCAACTATATTCCATTGTTTCAACTTTTTGGACAAATAATTTGACAATAATTTTCCAAAATATTTTTAAACTACGTAAACCTTCATTTTTTATATGGTTTAAATAATTAAGTATACATCTACTGTTGAAATTAAATGGATTTTTTCCAAAGCTTTCCAACTGCAACAACTTAATTAGAAATTTAATACTAATCATATTCCATCATCAACCAAACACATAATACTTTTCTCTTTTTTGAAGTCCTGAGGCTAACTTTTGCCAAATACTCTAGCAAGAATGATACAATCATTCAACCACTTTGAGGTATACTTATTAACTGCTTCTAGAATTTTTTTTAACTAGCTATTCACTGCGTTTTAGAGTAAGGCAGAAAATTTCAAAATTTGATCGCCTAGTTTGTTTTTATAAAGCCTTTTAGGTAGCGGTATTCCTTTAGCCTGTTTATCTTTAAAGTTGTTAAACCTTTAGAATTTTACTGAACTTCTACTGACTGGCAGTTTAAAAGAAGATTTATTCTTGACTTCATTAAAGAAAAGCGAGAAAAAAAATGAAATCTTGAATAGCCTTCTTGATAGCTTGAGTAACGATTAAAAATAAATAAAAAAAAGGAAATTATGATATTTTGAAGCAATCTGTCTTTTTGATTGAAAGAGACTTCAGATAAAACTTTTTTTTTCTAAAACGCAACGATTAAAAATCAAATTTATCCAATCAAAATTTGAATAGCATAAATTTGAAAGAAAAGTTGCATAACTTTATACGCGAAGAAACTTTTGCAAAGACTTTAATTTTTTATATCTTTAAATTTTTAAAATAGAAGTAGAAGGTCAACCATAAAAATTTAGCAAAAACTTAATTGTTTTTTGAACTTTTCTCAAAAAATTAATTAAGAATAATTGGTTAAACAAGAAATATAGAATTATGGACACCCCTCTCCCCCTCCCCCCTATCATAATATATCAAAATGCATTTATAATAATATATAGATTTGAACAAGTTTCTTTTTTTTTATTATTCTTTATAAGAAGTTTACTTTGAAAGAAATGGTTTTTCTTAATAATCTCATAAAAAATGACTTATCCTTTTTTTAACAATTTGTCTAACATTTAGCCTTAGTCACTTAAGCCGCTTTTGCGCGGAAAGGGTTTCGTCAAAAACGGGAATCGGGAGGCATATTTTGAAACCACATACAAACACACTCCGTTTGTGTTTGTACCCACTATTAAAATGCAATGACAAACGTTTTACCAAGACCTTTTTTTTTTGTAATTATTTAGGTGCTTCCAGATGTCTTTACGGTCTTATTGCAGAGCACCGCAGGAGAGCATTTAACTGGAAGTTCGCGCCTCCTTCCGTACTAATGTTGCTTGTTGATATATGTGTATATATATATATATATATATATATATATATATATATATATATATATATATATATATATATATATATATATATATATATATATATATATATATATATATATATATATATATATTATGTATATATATATATATATATATGTATATATATATATATATATATATATATATATATATATATATATATATATATATATATATATATATATATATATATATGTATATATATATTTATATATATATATATATATATATATATATATTTATATATATATATATATATATAAATATATATATATATATATATATATATACATATATATATATATATATACATATATATATACATATTTACATATATATATATATATATATATATATATATATATATATATATATATATATATATATAAATATATATATATATATATATAAATATATATATATATATAAATATATATATATATATATATACATATATATATATATATATATATATATATATATATATATATATATATATATATATATATATATATGTATATATATATTTATATATATATTTATGTATATGTATATATATATATATATATATATATATATATATATATATATATATATATATATATATATATATATTACATATATATTAGGGTGGGTCACAAAAATTTTTTTTCTTGTTACAGGCTCTAAACATTGCTAGAAAGTTGTTTTTTTATGTACTAATTTAGGAAAGTATTTACTTTTATGGATTGAACAATGTCTTCCACCCGCAACTATAATTACAAAAATTAGCATGCCCTATTATTATTTAAAAATAATGTAGGTACTCAAATAAAGCGTAATTTTATAAAAATTTCAAAAATAATAATTTTTTCATATAAAAATTATTATTTTAGATTTTATTGCATAAAAACTATAGTTTTTTAACTAAAAGTGAAAGGTGCATTTTAACATGTTTTTTAATGATAGTTTTTTTCGGCAATATGATTTTATAAAACGATTATTATTTTCGAATTTTTTATAAAATTTCGCTTCTTTTGAGTACCAGGTTGACCTACTTTCGAAAAAAAGTAGGTCAGTTTTTTTTTTCCAAAATATTAGGGTACCGGTAATTTTCCCAATAAAGTTGCGCCCTTTAAATCTATCACAATCATTCTCATATTTGATAGTATCAATATTAATAACTATTAGCAATTTTTAGAGCCTGTAACAAGAAAAAAATTTTTTTGACCCACCCTAATATATATACATATATACGTATGTATGTACAAATATATTAACTGTGTAAATAAAAGAAAATACAATGTTGTGCTATACGGTAATTACATTTCTCTTGTATTTTTACACATACAAATACTGAGAAATCTTGCGGTACTTTCAGATATTGACATCTACCAAACAATTGAATATACGTAGCTATCATACTAGCAAGATAGTGATTGATCTGCAAACTAATGAAAAAATACTGTTTAAGACGTACATTTATTTAAGTTGTAGGGCACCATTGAAAACATTTTCCTTTTCTAGCTTTTAATGATGCAAAATTGTCAATAATTCTATCAGAGTTAATTTTGGAAGACATTTCATGTTCAATAGATAAAATTGCCAAATTAGATAAACGCTCTTGTATCATCGTTGATAGCTTTTTATAAATTTTAGCTTTGAGAAGCTCCTTTCACAACTTGCTATTGATAAAACTATTGTTAAAAAAATTATAATGGCAACAAAAAGATTAGGTACAATTTCTTGGATTTGAGAATCCAAGACAAAACTTCTAATGAACTCCAATTCTTTACCTCTTGCGGATCTATCTTGGTATTTATTTAGAATACTATCATATGAAGTCGAAGACGATTCACTTCAATTAACATTTCCGATGGATTCAGCTCTTTGTAAGCTTTGCACATATGCTCAATCTAGCGTTTAATGAATTCATTGTTTTCTCCACTCAGCATACTTCAGTTTTTAAAAAAGAAAAAATTTTCTCAAGTTCTTGCAATTTAGATGTGCGGTTTATTATTTCTGATCGCAGCCTATCCACAACTTCGTACTGTTCTCGTCTAACTTTGTCATCGAGACTTAAGCCTGCATCTGTCGTTTGTTCATCTGGCATTTTCTTTCGTCGGCAAACTCTTTTTTCTATTGCGATATATTTGACAAATCTT